CACATCCAACGTGCAAAGGTTTAAACACAGTGGGTGTCAAACGTAAGACCGCACCATTCAGCATCCAAAAAAGTTCTTTTGTTTGGGAAGAAAACTCTCCCAAGATGGAGGAGTTTTCGAAGTTAAGACTAGTTATGAAACAACTCAGCAGACAACTGCTTTGATAATTAAGTGCTGAATTCAAGCGCACAAAAAGATTGCCCTTATGGGGTAAACGCTTTGCTTTGCTCACATTTTGTCGTTATATGACTGCACACACAGACATATAAAGCGACAGTACGTTTAAATGCACATTTTTTCTGATAAATATTCAATGAGGACGAAAGATTCTCTAAAGGAGAATGCTAGTCGAAGTTAATTGACAATAAAAGCGTAGGCATTATTATTTAGCCTAAGAATGTTAAGACCTCATGCTGTTATCAAAATGCGCTTGTTAATTCAAGCGTGGGAGCGTATTCTTGTTTGAAGTTAAAAAAATAAACCATAACACTTCTGCCTTCAAACGAATGTCCATGGTGATAATTAATTTTATTCGATTTGGTTAGATGTTAAGAATGTGCCAAAGAGAAAGCTTTTATCAAAGCGTGCTGGGCAGCACATTCGGACATAAACGAGCCCCTTAATGATAAAGTTGAGAGTGTTGTTCAACAAAATAACTTGCAATCTTAATCTCCCGCTTAAAGCAGTAGGCTAGGCATGCATACCTGTGTCAGGAGATAACTTAATAAAGTTCAAAGAAATCACTTTGATGTTTGGGTGATTTTGAGTACATAACTGAAGTACTTATTTTCATTGTATGTTAGAAGACAAGGGGTTGTGCATTCATTTTTACTAAATGAGTTGGGGTGAATAGTTCCGAGTCAAACTGATAAAACCTTTGGTACACATACAAATGTGATTGAGAAACGTTGTAGTCAAGAAATTTTTAAGTTTACAACGTAAGCTTCTTTACGCATAGGATTCAGCTTTATACGGCACGCAAATTCACAAAGTTTGAAACAATAGGCCAATGTGCAGTCCCATAATTTATGAATTATTATCGTTAACAGAACCAATATTCATTGAATAGTCCTGTTATTATCCATGGACACAAGGAAGCTTTCTGGATAGTCCAATCAGCACTAAGGGGAATACATGCCGGTCGCTGATATCCATATTCATATTTAAGACACCAAATATCCTCAAGTTCACTAGCTGTTGATCAAAAATAGATTTATCAAACTACACATGGACACCATGCCAACGCTTAGTGTCCTATAAGTCTATATAAACATAGAACAGAACGATCAGCCAAGCACGTTCCTCGCTGTTTTGGAAACATTCCGTTATTTTCAAACAGACTAAAAATCGTCAACGCCTATTTCGAATATCGAAAGCAGATATATTTAAGAGTATACTCATCACTTTGTGATACTAAGCATGTGATATTTTAGATGCTAACGCCGGCACTTTTACTCAATCTTTTTTATAACCCGTGATAATTGACTTTTTGTGGTGGACAAAAAATATTCAAAATAATGGTTACCCCTGAACAAACACGAGTTTCCTTTTTAACTTAAAGATAAATTCGGAAAGGTAACCTGACAACCGAAGCAAACCTTAAATCTGCCATCTTAAATGAGGCGGAAAGTTCAACTGCATAGAGTAGAGCTCCGCGTGTTTCCTATTAATTTGATAACCTTCAGTAAAATGTCGTTAGGAACCTATAGTATACCTACAAAATTCAAAATCTGCTTCCAAAATTTAACAAAACAATCAGAAGAACTACGCTTATACCTCAAAAATTGCTCGGTGCGTTTTAAATAAGACTTCAATCCTCGGTTCATCAACAATATGAATAATTCAGCACTCTGCTGTGTCGTTAAGTAATTTTTCCCAATTTAATGAATTCAGGCTGAACCTTCCACCATGGTGAGGACCAATGCTAAGTTACCCGAATAATATCCTCTATTGTAAAGCCGTTCCCTTTGCAAGGCAGACGCAATTTGAAAACATATCGAGACTTCTGGAACGAAAGTGCTATGTGGATATGCTCGGTCCTTTCTTATCTTGTTCTCTCGCGATGTGATGGGTGAATCAAGGTCAAAAATCCTGTCAGAAACTGCAAGAGAGCAGCGACTTTATCAGAATGACCTTTTCCATTGGCTGTGAGCGCAGTGAGACAAGATTGTTATCCAAGGAAAAGATTGGCAAGCATAATAATCCAATACAACAGACAGCCAATTCTATTACTAAATAAGAAATTATTTGTTCAACCGTTTATCTCTAACTATGGTTATCTTTTTGACCATTAAAAGAGACGGAAGACGATGCGTTCAAATTTAAGAATATTTATGTTCATGTGTTTCAGAAAATATTGAAAAATATTGATGTTTATGGGATGTAGTCAGTGTCAATATTGTCTTCCTAAAAGTTCTGTTTTCTTATAAAGAGAAATTGCAAAATTATAACAAGAAGCATAAAGTAAATCATTACCCGAAGAAGTGCCACAGGCTAATATTGACGAATGTTGGGGACGAAAAGCGACACAATTCACACAAGAAGTAGTTTCGAAGACATAATCCGGAGCATCGCTACGTATTGATTCTTTACAGATATTCCAAAGAACCAAGTAAGAAGTGTGCGTACACCAGTGCTCATGGAATGTTTGACCATATCTTTCAAAAGAACTGGTTAAGGAAAATGATTGCGTGCGAAACATTTGAAAAGTTAATAGCCTTTTAAAGAATTATGTTATTACTGGAAGTAAATCTCGAAAAAAAATACTAAGATTGGGAAGAAGTTGTGATCGCTAGACAATACCTTTATCCACCTGACTTTTTGAGGATTCGTCTTTAAAGATGTTAGCAGAAATAAGTCATTTATCTAAGTTTGTTTGACAACCGAGTTAATCAAAAATGCTTAACAGGTTCACATAGATAACACTTACGATGAAAACTAACGGAAAAAAGCGCAAAACGTATTATATTACTTCAATCAAATATGATCGCCACATTCAAGAACTTTTCTGTACTTCTTGCTATTAGTACTTACAAATTTACAACTATTCGTTTGAATAACAAAAAAGGATACGCTACGGCAAAAATTGTACCAAACGTGTTCCAAGCAACGCAAGTCACACTATGCTAAAGCAATAAATGAACCATATATCCACAACTAACTTCAAGGCTTGTTGCTTGTTCGAAGTGCACGGTTTGTGCGAAGGGTTCAACTTCGTTCACACTATCAACTGCTTGTGCGTTCCGCCACACACTGCTTTTACAGTTCCTTTGCAACTGCTGGCAGATAATCGGGGTTACGCGTTCAAGGAAGGTCAATAGACCGGCCGAATAGGTTTGCAATACCTGTGTTTGTTCAGAAGCTTGAATGCAGTCTTCAGTTTGCGTCTAAACCAATTTGGGTTACACCTTCTGTAAAATGACAGACCAAGGTATGCCGAAAACGCCTGCTTTGGTTACCCCGGTGGACGATCGTATATCTGTCAGTCTGAGAAAAATTGGATGCCAATCTAAATGAGGTGGGTAAAAATATATCACTCGTTTTAAAATTTGGGCAGGAGGTAGATCGTAAATCATTTGGCAAACCACTAACAGCCATTTGAAGGGATCCTGGCCATACAAATGGGATCCATTAAAATGGCTGTATATGAACTTACACATGTACGGATACCCTGTCAGCACACGGCCCCAGCGTAAGTGGGGCCCCGGACGGGGCGAGGCGGGGCAATCCGGGGCTAATGGTTAACAAAATGTATTGTTAAAAATTTCTCGAAATCTATTTTTGTCAAAAAAGTATCAATAACCTTTAGTTTGCAGCTTCGTCTTTGATAAAACAATGAAACCGGAGGTTGAAACGAGAAAACGGGGGGTTGCACGCTGCGAAAAT